TAGAAAACATTTTTCCTGGATATGTTTCTTCCAAATTCCATTTTCTTCCCCATGTATTCTTGATCTCAATTTCTCATTTTTTTCCTGGATATGTTTCTTCCAAATTCCATTTTCTTCCCCATGTATTCTTGATCTCAATTTCTCATTTTCAATTGAAAGCTCTTCATACTTGCTTCTTGATCTCAATTTCTCATTTTCAATTGAAAGCTCTTCATACTTGCGAATAAATATATTCATTGAGTCACGAGCGTAACTTGATACTTCGCCATGATCTGACCAAGTCCAATTACAAGTGTTTGTAGCACAAATTTTAAATTGATGACACGGATGCCCCGTGGTGTAAGAAGTCTTCATTTGCACTAGAATCCCACAATAGCAATTAAGAATCTCGTATGGAGGTGGACGATTCCACATTGCAGCATATAGCCTATTGTCTGTATTTTTTTATTTCTCTGACAATTTTATTTCTTTTTATTTTTCCTAAAACTTTACCGAAAATGTGAAGCTCCCATCAGTTCTCTACTCTCACCTTGAGACTTTCTCAACCTTTCAGAACCCCAATACTTCCATTGTAGCTGTAATTTAGAGTGACTCATATCCCTCAGCTAATAAAGTTGCAATGTTGTAAATTACACTTGATAATTCTCCAAAATCCTAGGGGTTCATATATAATCTTCCTAAAACAGCAATAACCCACCTTTGACTTATATTCCTGCAAATCTTTATAAAATTAAACCAAAAAATTAAAAAAAAAGAAAACAAATTAATATTTTTACCTAATTTAGATTACTATTTGAAGAGAGGTACCCAGAGCTCTCGTAAACCAGGGCGTTGACCGGAGGGAGAAGGAGAGATCGGATGGCTGAGATGAGAGGTTCTTGCAATCGGACGGCGTGGAAACGACGATCGTCAACGGAGAAGAGTATGTGAACGTGGGGGCCAGCGGGCGCGTGAAGAGATAGTGGCAACAAAAAACAAAACCTCATGACAGCTTGTTTGTGGGGGCCACGCGTGTATCTCTTTTCCGCTAGACAAAGCAAAAACGCAGACAAAGGCCCACCCGATTCAAAGCTATATATATATAGCTTGCCTAGCTCTTTTTTCGGTGTGCAGGTGCAAAAGTGTGGAGAACGCAGGCTAAGGCGGCGTGCAAGCAGAGAAAAAGGACAGCGTGCAGAGAGTTTTCATAGAGGAAACGCAGAGTAGCCGCCGACCTTTTAGAGGGTTTTTGACATCCCCTTTGTGAGAGATTTGAGAGTTTGTTTGAGGGTTTAATTTGTGTGATTATAAACCCTATTTGTATTCTCTCTCTAATAGTAGATCTCCCCCTCCTTATCCCGTGGACGTAGACAATTTGTCGAACCACGTAAAATTAATTGTTTTGCTGTTTGTGTGATTTGTAATAGATTATTTAGGTTCCCTCGACAGGTCAGTCCTAGAACTGATGAGAGGAAGAGTTTGTGTGATTTGTAATAGATTATTTAGGTTCCCTCGACAGGTCAGTCCTAGAACTGATGAGAGGAAGAGCTGATATCCCACTTTGTTGCCCTCGACAGGTCAGTCCTAGAACTGATGAGAGGAAGAGCTGATATCCCACTTTGTTGAGATATTTTACTGTTGGTTTTTGTTTTCTTGGTGAAACGGGAATTCTTGTTGCGATCTAACTCTCTTGTTGTGCTGCCGAGGTGCTGCCGAAATTTCCGCTACGTACAACAAGTGGTATCAGAGCCTAGGTTTCAGATCTAGGGTTTTTGGAATTAGGTGGAGGAAGATTCTTGTGTGAAGCTTAGTTCTTAGAGTTCTAGGCTTCGATGGAGATAGCATTAGGAGTTGCCGTTGGAGATTTCACTTTCCTCGTGTGGACAGGAGATCTATTTGAAATATGATCTAGGGTTCAGTTGGGTAGTTCTTAATTTCTATCAAAGTTTGATTATTTCTCTACAACTTGGAGTTAGTTTGCAATGGGAGAAGAAGGTGAAAGCAACAAGTCGATGGTGAGTACAGTTCAAGTTAGTTTTCAAAACACCAAAATTAGTATGGTGAAGTATGACGGTAAAATTAATTTTGGTTTGTGGATGAACGACGTACATGATGCGCTTAATGCTCAGAACTTGGAGGAGACCATCATGGTCCACGAGAGACCATCAAAATATGAAGAGGTGATATGAAAAAAGATGAATAGGAAAGCTTGTGGGGGTGATCAGGTCCTGTTTGGAACATGAGTTGAATTATGATATGATTGGAGTGACGTCTGCAATGAATATGTGAGAAATTCTTAACAATAAGTATCTTACAAAAAGTATTGAGAACAGATTGCTTTTGCTCCGAAGATTATTCATATTTCAGATGTCCCGAGGTACCTCGCTTGCGGCTCATGTGAACAACTATACGAAGTTATTGTCAAACTTGGCGAATGTTGATGAGAAGATATCGGATGAGTACAAGGCTATTATCTTATTGGGCTCCTTATCGAATGAGGAGTATGACACCTTTGTGTTCACTTTGTTGAACGGGAGATCTTCTATCAGCTATAGTGAAGTTACTAATGCATTGATGAATTATGATTTGAGGAGGAAGGACAATGAGACTTCCCGTGCTAACACTTCAGGCGATGACTTGTTGACGAGAGGTAGAAGCCCATATCCGAAAGGTGGTAATAGAGGAAGGTCAAAGTCAACAGATCCTCACCAGCTAGGAAAGAACTAATGTGCATTCTGTAAGGAGCAGGACATTGGAAAAGAGATTATCCAAAGATCAAAGAGAAGGAGAATAGCAAGAAAAAGGGCCTGAAGGCCAATGAGGTGAATATTGCAAAAGGCGATGATTCCGATGATTCCGATGATTCGAGCTTTTCTCTTTTGATTACTCCGGTGGTGAACCATTTAGATGTATCGGATTGGATGCTTGATTCTGGCACTACTTATCATGTGACTCCTAGGCGAGATTGGTTTTATCGTTTGAGAGACACGATGGGGGTATTGTTGTCATAGAAAATGATCAATCCTGTGGTATTTATGGGATAGGTACCGTGAGGATTCTGATATACGATGGAGTAGTCCGTGAATTGAAGGAGGTGAGATTTGTTCCTCAGCTGAAAAAGAATCTTATTTCTGTTAGAGCTTTGGAGGCGAAGGGTTTCAAGGTAACCTTTGAAGATACTGTAGCAAAGGTTACTAAGGGATATTTGGTGGTGATGAAGGGAGTCCACAGTCGGAACTTATATTATCTGCAGGGGAGCACCGAGATTGGCCAGATTGCTTCGGCTATTTCAGAGCCGGACATGAGTAGACTTTGGCACTACAGGTTAGGACACACATGAAAAAAGTCACTGCAGGATCTGTGTAAGCAAGGGCTACTGAAGGGAGCTAAGAGTGGAAAAGTTGAGTTCTGTGAGCACTGTGTTCTTAGCAAGAAGACGAAGGTGAAGTTCGGGACTGCCATTCATAGGACGAGAGGCATCCTGGATTATGTGTACACAGATGTTTGGGGTCCTACCAAGACTGCATCACTTGGTGGTCGACATTGGTTCGTTATGTTCGTTGATGACTATTCTAGATGTTATTGGGTGTACACCATGACGAAGAAGAGTAAAGTCCTAGATATATTTATGGAGTGGAAGAAGAGATTGGAACTACAAACATGAAGAAAAATCAAGACGCTACGATCCGACAACGGTGGTGAATATACTTCAGACCCCTTTTTAACAGCTATGTCGAGACGAGGGCATAGAGAGACACTTCATGGTTAGTCATACATCGTAGCAGAATGGGGTAGCAGAGAGATTAAATCGATCTTTTGCTGGAAAAGATTCGATGTTTATTGTGCGTTACGCTGCGGGCCAAATATCATTACTGTTGGAAAATGATATTTGGCTGTGGTCCCGTCGTACTGTAGCGGGTGGGGGGGCATGCTGGTTGCGCGACGCCCCCGCTAGCCAAGTAGCAGGGCATTTACTATTAAATGCATGATAAATTTGATATTAAATGCATGATAAATTTAACATCTTTGAGTTAACTTAAACTGCCCTAGTGCGTCTCAGATTGGGATCCTCTACTAACGAGTACCCTTCCTAAAATCTCCTCATGATATTTTGGTTTTTGATTTATCAATCAAAGGTCATAATCTCCTCGTAAAAAAAAATAAAAGGAAAAGAATGCGATCTTAACCTTCGATTGATCAATCAAAGGCCAACATGGTGACTAGAGGATCCCAATCCGTGCGTCCCACCATCGTACTCCATCCCCGCTCCCTATTTAATTCCCCAAATCTCAAAAACCCTCTCCAAAACCCTTAAAAAAAACCCTTCAAATGAAGCCCAAGGCCGAGAAGAGGCCCGCGGAGAAAAAGCCCGCCGCCGCCGTCGATGCCGACGAGGAGCCCAAGCCGGAGAAAGCCCCCGCAGGCAAGAAGACGAAGGCGGAGAATTATAGTTTGTATCTATTCATTATTGTATCTGTTTACCAAACTTTATAGCAGATTAGCGCAGGTTCTGGGTTTAATAATTGATCAGCTGGGGTTTAGAAGAATGGGTTTAAAATCGGAAAACCAAAAAGAAAATAAAACTCTTCATCTGTCTCCACTCTCCAATTTTGTGGATTTATTGGTTTGTTTCATTTTTTATTTTATTTTTTAGGGCCTTTGACAAGTTCATATTTGTCCAATTCTGGTAATGGACCTCAGCTCAGAGTTGCTTACCAGGTATGAAACTTTAACAATTTTGATTAGCGCATTGTTAAGCAATTAGTCATTTGTTAGCTCTTTTTAATATATTTTTTCTATTGATTTTGGGATTTTTAGGGTCTTCCTGGTGCTTATAGTGAATCTGCAGCAGCAAAGGCGTACCCGAACTGTGAGGCGGTTCCCTGCGAACAGTTTGAAAGTGCCTTTGATGTGAGTTTTGTCTTTTCCCCCCGCATTTATTATATCTAAAATTGGTTAAATTAGTCGTAATAAATTTGTTACTGATTTTTCGCATTGTGCAGAATGGGGTAGCAGAGAGATTAAATCGATCTTTTGCTGGAAAAGATTCGATGTTTATTGTGCGTTACGCTGCGGGCCAAATATCATTACTGTTGGAAAATGATATTTGGCTGTGGTCCCGTCGTACTGTAGCGGGTGGGGGGGCATGCTGGTTGCGCGACGCCCCCGCTAGCCAAGTAGCAGGGCATTTACTATTAAATGCATGATAAATTTGATATTAAATGCATGATAAATTTAACATCTTTGAGTTAACTTAAACTGCCCTAGTGCGTCTCAGATTGGGATCCTCTACTAACGAGTACCCTTCCTAAAATCTCCTCATGATATTTTGGTTTTTGATTTATCAATCAAAGGTCATAATCTCCTCGTAAAAAAAAATAAAAGGAAAAGAATGCGATCTTAACCTTCGATTGATCAATCAAAGGCCAACATGGTGACTAGAGGATCCCAATCCGTGCGTCCCACCATCGTACTCCATCCCCGCTCCCTATTTAATTCCCCAAATCTCAAAAACCCTCTCCAAAACCCTTAAAAAAAACCCTTCAAATGGCGCCCAAGGCCGAGAAGAGGCCCGCGGAGAAAAAGCCCGCCGTCGCCGTCGATGCCGACGAGGAGCCCAAGGCGGAGAAAGCCCCCGCCGGCAAGAAGCCGAAGGCGGAGAATTATAGTTTGTATCTATTCATTATTGTATCTGTTTACCAAACTTTATAGCAGATTAGCGCAGGTTCTGGGTTTAATAATTGATCAGCTGGGGTTTAGAAGAATGGGTTTAAAATCGGAAAACCAAAAAGAAAATAAAACTCTTCATCTGTCTCCACTCTCCAATTTTGTGGATTTATTGGTTTGTTTCATTTTTTATTTTATTTTTTAGGGCCTTTGACAAGTTCATATTTGTCCAATTCTGGTAATGGACCTCAGCTCAGAGTTGCTTACCAGGTATGAAACTTTAACAATTTTGATTAGCGCATTGTTAAGCAATTAGTCATTTGTTAGCTCTTTTTAATATATTTTTTCTATTGATTTTGGGATTTTTAGGGTCTTCCTGGTGCTTATAGTGAATCTGCAGCAGCAAAGGCGTACCCGAACTGTGAGGCGGTTCCCTGCGAACAGTTTGAAAGTGCCTTTGATGTGAGTTTTGTCTTTTCCCCCCGCATTTATTATATCTAAAATTGGTTAAATTAGTCGTAATAAATTTGTTACTGATTTTTCGCATTGTTTCTCTTAGGGCCTGTTTGTTTGTACGGAAGTAACTGTGAAATAGCAGAAGTAGAGGAAGTAGAGGCTACTTCTGCTACTTCTTGGCAAAAATATATGTTTGTTTCTCTGTAAAAACTACTTCCGCTACTTCCTTAAATGATGATGTAGCGTCTACGTGGCACATCTACTTCCTTGATATTTTTCCGTCTTCGAATGCACTGAAATACGGCGGAAGTTGATGTAAAGTGGGGTCCATGAGGAAAAAAAGATTCTCAAATATATAATTAGGAAGTGATTATTTTCATAACTGACTCCCTCACAACGGAGTATAACCCGCGTGATCTTTAATGTTCAGTCCTCGTGTCTCTATATTTGCTAAAATATTTAATGTTCAATGCTTGCCTCAAATATATAAACGAATGTTTTCAAATCAGAACTTTTTAACGATTTGGACACATTGATTGCCATTGTTAGTCAAATCCTTGCTTGTGTAGTTAGATATAAACAAATATGTTCAGTCCTCGTGTTTCTTCTACATTGTCCTGCTTTTGAATTATTAATGTTGTTTTATTCTTGATGTAAGCTTTCTAACTTTTAAGTACAGCAATCCTCGAGGCATGTGGTGTGTTATAATACTTCCATTTACATTTCTATTTCAATGACAATCCAAACAAGAATAAAATAAAAGTAACATGAATTAATTACTTCCTAGTAATATTTCTAAATATTATCCAAACAAAAAAAAGTAAATGAAGAGGAAGAAGTTCTACTTCCATTACTTCTAAAATATATGAAACAAACAAAAAAATGTTATTTCCGTTACTTCTTATTTCATAGTTTTGGAAGTTACTTCTGTAACCTATTTCTTATTTCCAATACTTCCATTATCCAAACGGGCCCTTAGGGGCTGTTTGTTTCACCATTTTTATGGAAAAGGAATAAGATTTGGGTTTGACAATGACAAAAGTGTAAATAAAAGATTCTTTACTATTCTTGAATTTGGTTCCCCAAAAATTTATAGATTTCGAAATCTATAAAGTTGAAAAAGTATGGTGATTTTATAAAAACCCAAATCCTAATGATTTGGACGGATTTGGGGCAGAAAGCTGACGCATTTGTACTATTCACCCTTTCTTTTTTTTTCGATTCTGTTTCTTCACAAACCCTATATTATTATAAGACCAAATCCTATTCTCATTCCAAACCAAACTAAAGAATAGGAATTGGAGGGTTTCTATAAAGTTGGATTCTATTTTTTCATGTTATGAAACAAACATAAAAATGAAAAAAAAGGATTCCATGACAACATAAAATTGTCTTAAATTTTTTTATGGATTAGCTAGGAATCCATAAAAAATATGAGATTCTTAATCCTATTCTTGCCCACTATTGAACCAAACACCCCCTTAGACTAACACTTGTTGTGTAAAGCATGTGCATGCTTTGCTAGGCTCAAGTTCGTTTATCTATATAAATGAAATGGTTAATTCTTATTACCCCGTAATTTAAGAATTGGGTAAGTTTTTTTTAACCCTCAGGGTGTCTATCTGCAAAATAAATTCCTTTCTCTCAATACTTGTTCTCATATTCCGAACATCGTAACCAATAATATATAGTTAGGAAACTGAACTTTTATACATTCATTATCATTCACCAAATTATCATTCTCCCAAAACTCACATTATCTTTCCTCCAAGACTGCTATGCTGGGAATTCATTCATCAGATCCATATTTCACCACATTAAAAAATCAACATAAAGAGATTCAAAAGAAATCCCAATCACCTTTATACATAATTCAAAACTTTGTTTTATCCTTGATCCAATTGGAAAGAGTCATGAATTATGAAATAATTATGAACTTGATTCTTTTGGTTGTCTGTTAAATCAGATCTCACCATTTTCAAATTGTGTGCATTAAAAGCCGCTTTGTTGTCAGCTTCAACATGCCTGATCTACAACATTCAATTTGTTCAACTAGGTTATTTCCTCCATTCTTGGAGGATAAGTCCTTTTAACTTCTAGCAGCATGTGGTGGATTGAGAGGAAAATGAGAAAATCAATAACAACATCTAGAGCCATAGTGAAAATTGGATTCAATATGCGCTTGTGTGCATAAATTGCTATCTAAACCATCTATTGGATATGGTTATGGACCCAAGATTATTAGTTGTCATTGATTATTAAGCATACATATTATTTTCTTGTTACAACCTGGATTATAATTTGATCAATAAGATCACATGCGTTATTACACGGTGCAGGTTATTTTTTCCTCTCTTTTCATCTTTTGTTTTTGTGTAAAAGTTTATTCCTATGCTGAGTGCAGGCTGTTGAACGTTGGCTTGTTGATCGTGCAGTGCTTCCAATAGAAAATTCATTAGGTGGTAGCATACATCGCAATTATGACCTTTTACTTCGCCATAAATTACATATTGTTGGTGAAGTGAAATATGCAGTACGACATTGTTTACTAGCCAACCATGGTGTGAAATTACAAGACCTGAAAAGAGTTCTCAGTCATCCACAAGTATATTTTAATCACACTATATTATTTGTTTAAGTTGAAAATACTTCAGTTTTTAAGCATTGCTTCTTTCTTAATGCCAAATTTTCAGGCTCTTGCCCAGTGTGAGCACACACTAACGAAGTTGGGAGTTGTTAGAGAAGCTGTTGATGATACAGCAGGTGCAGCACAGGTAAGATTCTAAAATTTAGTGCTATGATACACTCCTCTTTTGTCCCTATATGGAGAAACATGCAAACGGAAGGAGGAAAAAAAACAAACAAAACAAAACAAAAGAAAACACACATCGGCTATCATCTGCTTTCTTATTAATGTGACTATGTCATGGCATTCTCTGGTTGTTTGATTAATGCATGAAATAATTATTGTGTCAATAGATATGCAATCTCTTCTTGTCTTCCAATTGATGCCTCATGCTGCTTAATAGTGCACCTCTCTGCATATTGATATACCTAACATGTGTCCTGTGTAGTTTGTGGCTTCCAACAAGCTTCAAGATGCAGGGGCAGTTGCAAGTGCATTAGCCGCTGAGATCTATGATCTGAATATTCTTGCTGAGCATATTCAGGTATATCTAATTCCTTAGTCACTTGGTGGTAATTACTTGCATCATTACCTGAATACTTCACTCCCTTCTTCAGGATGATACTGATAATGTCACTCGCTTCTTAATGCTTGCACGAGAACCCATTATTCCATCCCTTCTTCAGGATGATACTGATAATGTCACTCGCTTCTTAATGCTTGCACGAGAACCCATTATTCCATGCATTGATAGAATGTTCAAGGTAAATTTAGCTGTACATTACATAATAAATCAAAGGCTATTTTGCTGAAAACAGCAAGCTTATCGTTGGTTCATTTCAGACAAGCATAGTTTTCTCCTTAGAAGAAGGGCCTGGTGTTCTTTTCAAGGCACTTGCCGTTTTTGCCATGAGAGAGATCAACCTCACAAAGGTATATTTCAGTAGCTTTTGACATTGTATATGATAATGTGTTATTTTTTGGTTAGATGGGGTGGCTTAACAATTTTGCTTAACCACTTTGTTTGTTTGTTTGTTTTTTCTTTACCATAGATTGAAAGTCGACTTCGGAGTAAAAAGCCCTTCCGTATAGCTGACAAAGGAGTCAATGGGCCTCTAAAGTAACTTTGATACCCCACACTAGTATTATATGCATGCCGTGTATATGAGATAACCTCAATATGTCTATTATATATCAACTGTTCTCGTTGGTCTGACATCATTTGTATATTCATATCGACTAGGTACTTTGATTATCTCTTCTATGTTGATTTTGAAGCATCAATGGCTTCACAAAATGCTCAGAATGCCCTTAGGCACCTTAAGGTATTTTTTGTTTTCGAGAAACCAGAAGGCTAATGAGGATTGCAATGACTAAGGTTTGTTTTTCCCCTTCTTTTGACAGGAATTTGCTACATTCTTGAGTGTTCTAGGAAGCTATCCAATGGATATAAGCCACACACGAAGATATTTGCAGGCATATCAAAGCAGTGGGACCTACTGTTGATCGAGTAGGTCAGTTGTCTATTGGTTGTTTAGGTTTACATGAGAGTGCATTTCCTGGGACTTTACTAAATAGATTTGACACCTAGCCCCCAACAACTACCCCCCTCCCACCAAAAAAAAAACCCAGCCCCACACTAAAACACACACACACACACACACACACACACACACATCCAGTGTCTGGCTACTTTATCATGTCAGCTTATGACATGTATGCGTATTAGTGCTATAACGTGTTACTGAAAACTGGTTCTGAGACGTAAACTGGAGAACCAATGCCTATCTTTTAGTGTTATATGTCCACATCATCTGTTCTTAACTGCTCCACCAGCATATTTGTTTGTTCATCTTTCTTAACTTAATTTGGTTTGGAATATTGTTCAACCTTGAGAGTGAGATACGTCTATACTATTTATAACTTGGCGAAGGCAGACGGTTTCATGTGACTATACTGTCATATCCTTGATATGCTGGATGTACGCTACCTAGTCAATATTTTGGAACATGAATGTATCTGATTGTCAAAAGACATGCAAGGACCAATATTTCATTGAAAAGTTGAATCAATATCAAGTTTTCTAGAAAGATAGTTTTTACAATTTTCATTGATTCTCTTAAATTATTGTTGTTCTGATGTACGGACTGTATGGTTCAAGGCAACATGATATCCTAACTGAAGTGAGACACATTCTTTTTTGTTGCATCCCCCCAACCCCCCCCACCCCCCCGAAAAAAGGAAAAAAAAGAACCATGAACCATGTGGGAGTTCTCCTTAGTGGGATATCTGACAGGTTCAGTTTTTTCATTCCTGCAAGAAATCGACAAAGTGACTTCGTTTGAATTTCAGTTTAAACACGAACATATGAAAATTCCCGCTTGAATAACTTGGACTGTTGAGCAGATAAAATTTCTGAGATATTTGACAATATGAATGATTAAACATTTGACAAGCTTGTTAAAATTTGTAGTGTGAGCATGTTCAAATTTGCATTCAGATACAAATTTGACACAAACGTTCCTGTAAATTGAGTTGAGTTGCAATCCTGAAAAACTTGCTAGGTTATTTGGCAGTTTTAATAATTTTTAATGTCAATACTATCTTATTGCACGGCATGTTTACCTTCAATAAAAACCAAGCTCATTATAATTTATTGTGGTTAAAGCATATCCATCTATTAATTGCTTCTTGTAGTTTTACTTTTATTTTGCTTGCAGAGAATGAAGATGGAAAGAGCTGCATGCAATTGTTAAGAAAAGGATATGTTACGACATTTGAAATTTTGAATGGATCATATAGTTAGGTCAGAGCAGCAGAGGGATGTCAATTATCCAGAATCATCATAATCTTTGGTTTGGAATTTTGACTTTTTTGCTTCTAAAATGTACAGCACCTTTGCAGAATGAAAAAGGAATGATCCTTTTTTTTTCAGTATAACGTGTTCGAAGAAAAAAAAAACCGGGGCGTTGTACTTATGTCATCGTGCATGCTCTAATGTTATGCGTATGAGTCGCCAAACCTGGTAGTATGAGTTTCTGGAGATGTTGAAATCTCAATGGTTCTATACTTCTATGCAATCTTTATACTAGGTGGATATTTTCGAGAGAGTTTAGCCTTTATTCTTGAACGCGGATGGAGTTCTTCCTATTTATCGTGGCTCGATGTCAGGTTGTTGATTCTCTTTTTAGACGTATGCCTCTGGATGACTGAATCTTAGGACTTTAAGTTCTGCAATGTAGCCAAAGTGAAAACATGTTTCTATAGTATACTTGAACTCCTCGTTCATTTTGGTTGCTAAATCTGGAAAAAGTTCGGCATAAATGCATAAGTTGCACAACTGATCTACTATGAGGCGCTTTACTGTTTGTGTGATTATTGCCCAGCTGATCCGAGTAAGGGATAAAATTGTTCTAATGGAACAAGTTTACACTTTTGGGATATTTTGAGTGGGGTAAAGTTACTGTTTGTGTGATTATTGCCCAGCTGATCCGAGTAAGGGATAAAATTGTTCTAATGGAACAAGTTTACACTTTTGGGATATTTTGAGTGGGGTAAAGTGGGATAATTGGATAATTTGAGTTTTTGATTTGACAATTCATGTGAGATAATTGATGGTGTGGTATCTTATTAAAATATAATTTTATCTATTAATTACTTTTAAATTAACTTATCCAATTGGTTTAGTATATTATTTAGTATATTATTATAATATAAATATTATTTTATATTATATTAAAATATAATATATTATACTATACTTACAAATTACTATTATTAATTATTATATTGTATTATGTTATATTATATTAGCATGTTATATTATATATAATAATTAATACAATATAATATCAATATATTTAATATAATATTTTAATAATATATTATTTAATTTAATATATTATAATATAGTATCATAGGATATAATGTACTTTATAAAATATTATAATATTTTACTTTATTCAATGTAATATTTTTTAAAATTTTATATTAAAATTAAAATATAATATTATATATATATATTACATGATAATTACAATAATATATATTAAAAGGTATCATGTTATTGTATAATGTATTATATTATTTCAAATTATAGTATTATATTATATTATATCATAATATTTTACTAATATTAGTTATTATTATATTATATTATAATAGTGTGTCATATATATAATAACTATAATAATATTTTATAAATTAATTATATAATAATATATGTTATTAAAATATTATATAACATTATAATTAATATGTTATACTATAATTACTAATATTATATAATAATATATTACATAATACTATTAATATATGTTATTAAAATATTATATATATGTTATTATATAATATTACTAATATATGTTATCAAAATATTATATAATATTATAATAAATATGTTATACTATAATTACTATTATATAATATTATTAATATATGTTATTAAATTATGTTATTAGAATATTAATATATGTTATATTTTATATATCATGTCGTATATTTACAATATAATTAGCATGTATTAGTTAAGTAATACAAAAATATTTTAAAATTATCGCAATTGCCTTCAAAGTGGAACAACATTGTTTCAATATGGAGGATGAGGTAAAATTTTACTATTAGGACAAAATTTTTGTATATGAGTGGGGTAATTTTATCTCAAGTGGTGTAATTATCTCACTAGTGTTCCAAAAACCAATAATACAAAAATGTATTATCCTTGTTTCATTGTCTCAATGAATAACACTATGAAATAGAATCTCCAACATTATCCCATTATCCTCCAAAATGTCCCAACCAATAACCCCCCTAAGCATCGCCTCAGAACGACCCGCATCCTAGCGGGTTGTTTGAGCCGTATATGGACTTGATGGGGGGCAATTTTGTCATTTCAGCCCCACGTGCAGCTCAGACAACCTGCTCGCATGCGCGTCGTGAGATGACGTGTATTGAACTGATCTCACCCTGCAAAATAAACCCAAAGTGTGACACTTATGGTAACTGTTAGATTGTAATATCTCTATGCAGTACAGAGTTCTATTAACCCTCTTCTTGTAAGTACTACGGTATTATCCTACTCATAAAGGTAATTGCAAGTTGTAACTCATAAAGACAATTGTAATCAATACTCCATGTAAGAGAAGCTGGAAATTTTCATATTAGTTTTGGGTTTTCTGATGTCTCCCTCCGAGGTCTACATTTTAAAAATTAGTCCTCAATAATAGGCCTGGGCCTGTTGTTGTTTTGCTCCCGTTTTCGCTTTCCACAAGAATGTTATGTTACCTAGTTTAAGATAAAAAGGTTTGATATCATTTCTTGGGTTGAAAATTTGGACATTAACAATAGGGTTTCCCCCCCATGAAAACCATGTTAAGAAATAAGTCAAATCGATAGAAACCATCTTTCCTTTTTTAACACAGAAATCACCTTATAAGTTGGTTTAGCTTTCAATCAACCATATCTTAGAGTAATTCCGATTCAACTTTTATCCGAAACGCCCAACATCTCCCTTCTCCTTCCTCACCTACCCTAACTACCCCACTCACCTTCTTCCTCTTCCCTTCTCCTTCATCTTCGCCGTCGTCCTCCATGCAAACCACAGTTGAGATCAGGGAGAGGAGAAGAGAGTAGGGTGAGATGAGAAGAACGAGAAAGGAACGAGAGAAGGTGGAAGAGGAGGGAAGAAGGTGAAAAGTCAGATGGAGGAGAAAGGAGGAGGGAGAAGATGCGGTGGAGGATAGAGATGAGGATAAATGGAGGAGGAATGATCTGGGCGGAGGAGGAGGGCGGAAATGGGAGGAGGAGGATGGAGGTGGGGTGGATGAGAAGGGAGGGAGAATGAGGAGGGTATTTTGAGAATTAAAAACTAAATCCAGTCATAAGATGATTTCTGTATAAAAAAAACTCGAAAGGTGATTTCTATCAATTTGACGTGATTTAAATGCGGTTTTTAGGAGGGAAAAAAAACCCTTAACAATATATAGTTTCAACCTGCTTCAAGGATATACTACATAGAAACTTAGGGGCTGTTTGTTTTGAGTATTTTGCCTCGGGGAGGGGGTGGAAAGCTGCCATTATGGCAGCTTTCTCCCCAAAACGCCTCTTTAATAGGCGTTTTGGGGAGAAAGCTGCCATAATGGCAGCTTTCCACCCCCTTCCCGAGGCAAAAAACCCAAAACAAACAGCTTATACGGAGTTTTTAGCTCCTGAGGAAAACTGCTGACCTATTTTGTGACCATCTAAAGGGCAACAAGTATCAGCTATACTAAGGCCATGAGTCTAACAGTATAGTTAAACTATAAGTGGACAATATACTGCCAAAGTGTTATGCATCAAAAATTCATTAATTACAGTACTGGAAAACTAATGGAATCATTTCTTTAAGGGGGAAAAAAGAAAACTCTCATTTTCTTCCCAAATCTAACCGTGATTATATTTATGTTAAAGAATAGCTTGAACACACTTTGCTTGCTCACTTCATTTAATTTTCCAACGGAAGTCTTTCTTCGAATATTCGCTCCCTCGCCATCTTTGCCTGCAAAATATATTCCGAAGTTTTTTCACCTTTAAATGGAAATATAAGTCGCTAAAATATTCTAGTGAACTACTCTGCAGGGCGTCAATATCCCCGCTTCAACTATTGTTGATAAAATAGAGAGGTCATAAATATGTGATATTACTATTACATGAATTAGACAAATAATAAGGGTTTAGGTATGCAATTTTCAAACTCAAAATAGCTTTGAACACTAAAAGTTTGGCTTTTTAGGCAAAGAAAAATCTCCTAGTGTTTTAAAATCAAGCTTAGTTCTTCGAGTTCGATTATGTATGAACTTCAAAATTAAGTACGTAGCTTCATAGATTTCCCACATTTCCATTATTTTAAAAAAATTAGCCCTTATTGATAGCCAACTAAACATTTTAAAGCTTACATGAGCTAGATTTGGAGCCCTGCTGCAAGAAAAATATTTGAGTAATTAATGCTACCTGTATTATACTTCAAGATGCAAGCATGTCAGATCCTTCCACGTCTTTATTTAGATGTTTGTATCTTTTAGTACCAAAGTAGTATATTCTGCAGTAACATTAATGTGGCATATTTTCCTAAGAACTCTGGTAACAATTTTTCAGCAATAGAGATGCATTGCAGTAACATTAATGTGGCATATTTTCCTAAGAACTCTGGTAACAATTTTTCAGCAATAGAGATGCATGCCAAATTTACCATATAGAGAGTGCGTGAGAATGATAATTGTTAAAAAAAAAAATTTGTTAGATTGTTTTGTTAGTGGGCATGTCTAGTGGCGGAGCAAGAAATTTTGGTAAAGGGGTCCGAAAAATAATTAAACATGACAACATATAATTTTTTGGCACAGTTGATTAGCATATTGATCATTATGTAACAAGACTTTCAAATTATATTTTCACTTAGAATATAATGTTTAAAATAAAATTCTTCTTGTCCTCAATTTTTGAAACTGTTTTATTATATCTTCCTCATTAATCATAAACATATCTATAGGCACTTGAATTCCATGCTTAGTCTACCAACCACAAAATTATCTTCCATATTCGAGATCACCATCTCATGCAAATTATAATAATTGCGAGAAAGAAACGAGCAATTTCTTTTTTGTTTGAGAATTTTACACTTTATCCTTTATAGTTTAGAAAATTATTTTATGTTAACAGCTTATTGCACTTACATACCTTATAGTTTCCTCTCGCATTTATATACCCTCGATTGTTTTTGGCAGCACTTGTATACCCTAAAGCTTTTAATACTCGCACTTATATATCCTCACTTGTTTTTGGTAGCATTTATATACCCCTGAAGTTTTTAAAACGTGCACTTTGCACTTAAATATCCTCAGTTATGCAAACGCAAGAATTCCCCTTTGAAAATTCTCCTGTGATACTGACATGCTTTTGCCAGATTTGAAGTTAAACATATCTAGATATTATTTTAAAATAGAATTATGATAGTTTGAATAGTAAATTTTAATACAAAGTGCTAAAAAGTTCTAAAACTAGTATGTATAGTGTTGCACAAGAACTTTCGGGGAAAAAATTCCTCATTTGCGTAACCGATGGTATTTAATTGCAAGTTTTAAAAAAAAATTAGGACATGTAAGTGCTGTCAAAAACAAGTGAGGGCATGAATGTGCAAGTTCTAAGAACTTCAGGTTATATAAGTGTTACCAAAAATAATTGAAGGTATATAAGTGCAAAGCAGGAAACTATAGAGTATTTAAGTGCAAATATTAATACTCTTTTTTTTCGGTTACCCAGTAGGGGCCAG